CTGTTGCCCTCATGCAAAGCAAACTTGCAAAACTTCCCCAGCAATTGCACAAACTTAGCACCGCCTCTAAGGTTCTTAAGAAAGACGTAGAAGCTTGCCTCGGCCTCTTGAATTGGGCAACGACCCTAAGCCCGCACATGAGATCTTTCATGTCATGCTGCGTAGCAGCGCCGGCACTCTGCACAGCATCTCTCCCAACGCTTGGGCTGCGCCAAGCTCGCATCGACACCAGCCGGGTCTTGGCTCCGTCGCAACGCACAGCGTTTGGAGGTCGGCTCCATCAGAGTACATTCAAAGGCCGACGTGCCGCGGGTGCCGCCATCGCACAAGCACCAATGGGTTCGCCTCTCCGACCCCAATCGTACCGAGTTATACCTCAAGCAGGATAGCAAATTCTCCCTTGCATGGCTAAGCCTCTGCTTTCAGCATGAGCAACCGCGCAGCCTTCGCATGCCTCCCCTTGCTCCTGCATGAGCGCAGCTGATGCTTTCGCGGACACGCATCGCCTGGGCATAGGTGGCTGGCTAAGCACTTCCTCGCATTTTCTTTGGTACAGCGAGATCTTCGCGGCAGAACAGATACGCGCGGAGTGGCCTCAATTGCACGACTCCATGCAGAGCTACATCGCCTGCTTCGAAGCACTTGCACAGCTCGCCCTTGCACACTGCTCTTGGGCACTGCTCCGTCATAAGCATGTCCGCTTTGTGCTGCCCAGCGCCAGCGACAACACTTCAGCAGAAAGCGGCGTGAACCGCCTGTTCACCGCCGCTGAGCCGCTCAGTACCCTCCTTCGCCTTGCGGCCACATGGGCCCATCTGCACCGGGTCCAGTTCCAGGTTGAACACCTGGCTGGAGAAAAGAATACGTGGGCTGACGCACTCAGCCGCGGCCGCCTCGCATTCATCCAGCATCGCTCCGCAGAGCGGGTGCGCATTACCTTGCACCAGCTCGCATCGGCTTCCCACACAGTTTCACTTCGAGGGGAGGAGAATACCTTCCCCACTCGCCTCCGCGAGGCGCATCGCATAGTGCAAAAAAGGCTTCTGCATCAGATTCGCCTTTTCTCTTCAGTCTCTTGACGCGCAGTCTTAGACTTGTTTTGTCGTGGGCTGGCATGCCAGGTCCCACTTCTCCATCCTCGTGCGAGGGGGGTTCTGAGCCCGCAGGGCAGAGGATGCTGAGGTCGGACTAAAGTGGGGGAAGAAGACTCGGCAACGCATTGCCCTGCTTCTCTCATTCGCACTGGCATCGCATTGCCTCGCACCGACTTCATGCATCCTTCGCGAGAGAAAGAGAGTGCGCCACGTTCTTTCGGTCTTGTAGCAAACTCACAGTATTCTTACTGAGAACGCTAGTCGTGAGTTTGTATTTTGGTCGACAGTGCTTTCGGTAAGTACTTGAGCTTGCATTGCTTCGCCCCGCGCTGCATCTGCAAGCTCAAGGCTGTCGACCTGGAACACTTCCGCTTCTTTTTCACCCACCCACCCAACCCGGGGGGAAGAAGACTCGGCAACGCATTGCCCTGCTTCTCTCATTCGCACTGGCATCGCATTGCCTGGCACCGACTTCATGCATCCTTCGCGAGAAAAAGAAAGTGCGCCACGTTCTTTCGGTCTTGTAGCAAACTGAGAACCGGTAGGTGATTTATTCGTTTCATCGGTTTCAATGTTTCTGTCAGCATGACAACGCATGATTTCCGATGACATGTTTCCACTCTCGCAAGATCTACAGGAGTGCATGTTGACAGCGACGACATTACTATTCAAGCAAAGTTTAAACCAATCCCAGCCGTATAATTTGATAAGTTGATGCCCAGTGCACCCATTCGAAAATTGCAGCGATGGAGAAATACCGGCAATTTGCCGATGGAGGCTGTGCATGTTTCGTGTGAAATTCGATTAATTCCGCGCAGGGGCCAGGCTGTACTATTTTCACATGTTGCCCAGGTACCGGTGTCAATCCGTTCGTGCCGGTATGGTCGCACCACAAGGTGCAAGACGAGCTACATGTTTTTGAGAGTGTGATGTGTTGATGACCACGACAGATGCTGTCACATGCTGTCGCATAGACATGCTCAGTCCGGACTGGTCATGCAGTGCGCTAAACTGGCTCGTTTCTCAGTTGGAAATCATGTGTTAAACGACTACAGTTCGAGATCCTCTGAAGCTCGGCATGGCTCAGGCCCTTCTGCCACTGGCATTGCTTCGTCTGTGCATGGTAGCGACGGCATTTCTGTGGCTGCAAGCTTGGACAGAGAGCCCAAGCCTCCGTTCTCATCTTTGAGGATTCGGAGTTCTGCCCGCAGAGGCTAGTGCTGGCGGAGCTGCTGTGTTGGCCATTGGGTTTCCTTCCCATTGTGAGGTAGGGAGCCAAGATCGCTCTCTCAGCTTGAGACCTATGACAACGGCCAAACCTCGAGTTTCGATCACCAATCCCAAGCATTATACTAAAAGATATTCAATGAGTTTCGTCAGGCTCACTTCTAAATGTCAGGGACACTTATGTCTGTACCGGGATCTGTGTTGCGCAGGCGTCCGCTGCATTGGCTGTTGTCCTACGCTGGCTGTAGTCTGGCATTACTGGGCCTAGGTGAGGAACCTACGTGCCTTTCCCCAATCCCTTCCAGCTGCGTGACGGAGCCGCATTTAAGGCTTCTGGTTCACAGCTGGAGGCCCGACCTGCTGTCCTGACCCTGTTGCATCCTTAGCAGATGCCTTTTCAACACGGCCTGACCAGGTCACGTTCTAGCAGATCATAGACGGTTAAAGCTTGCACCACCGAAGGTGCAGTGGCTGTTTCGCTGGCAGCTGAAAGTGTCAAGATCTAATAATCTACAAAGTCTCGAGCAGCAATCAAGATTGTCGCAAGTCTGATGTGAAGCTTGCCATGGCTTTCTGCCGTCAGGTGAACAGTTCTTCTTGTTATGATGCGCGGCGAGGGTGCTTGGTGCTTTCCAACGCGTCCGGGGCCTGAGCCTGCACGTGCCCAGCATTCGCGTTTCCTGATGTCCGGTTTCTGACTTCTGAGCCACTATGACCTTATGCTTTGCTTGAGGCAGGGACTGACTGACGTCCTCTACCTGGGTATGAGGCTGAAGCTATGCCCGCTATGCCGTTTCAGGTCTTTCTCAATGATTTTGGTCACTACAGGCTGTGTCCGGTCTTTGTCTTTCCTGCAGTTGATGGATCGTTTGGGCCTTGTCAGACCACGTTGCGCAAAAAGACATGTGAGAGGGCGGCTCGATTTTTCTGGTCTTGAGGCCTGTGCCCTACTACTCGGTGCTTGGGGCGCTTCGCAGCAGGGGTCTCGTGAACCACTCTCGAGAAAAGGTGCGTGGCAGAGAGACATGTGAGGGGCTGGTGCTCGGCGGGCTTCCGTGTCCGCGGACGAGCCGCCGCTGGCAGCAGCAAGTGGGCGAAATGCATGTTGAGATACATGGAGCATAAGCCCGTTGAGACTTAGGCAGTCTTTGAAAGACATCGCCGAAGCAGCCCGCACAGGCCGCGAGCTGTGTCTGCCATGTCAAAGATTCAACCTCGGTGTTGCCGATTCGGCCAGGCTGGCGGGGTCCAGTTGTTGTGTTCCCTGAGGCACTCTGAGATCTGAAATTTCTCGTTCGGCTAGTTTCGACCACGACTTCTCGGCGTTCGTAGCTGAGGGAGCACGAACTAATGGGACGGCAGTGCTTGCGCGGAGCCCCAGCGAAATGCGAATGCCGACATGCGATGCGGGCAGGCCATGTCCACTGCCTGGGTGCATTGCAGGCCTGGAAGAAAACCACTTTCGAGGGCCTGGAAAGCTTTGAGAAGCCGGGTGCTCAGCAGTCAGAGCAGGTCCTGAGCACCCGTTTTGACATACTCTCCACTCGACACTGTGCCGCTGTCTTGGACACGCAATCTGAGACCCGTGGGCACTGCGCTGGTGACCCTGGAATATAACAAAGCGGGGGCGTACACTCCCCATCATACCATTGGAACTATGTTCAAGACGGCGCCCCAGCGATACAAGCGTTGCCAGCCTCCGTGCAAGTGATGTGGACGCCCGCTCGGCTTAGGCATATCCTGTTCTTGTGCATGCAACCATTTCACTCGGCCCAGTCCCTAGAACTAGTGTGAACCAGCCAGTGCATGTTGTGCAGAGATCACTTCAACTGTAGTGCAAAGGTCAAGAGTACCTGGCTCCCGGCTACTGATGTGGCAGGGATCCACAGCTTCAGGTTTTCGCCACACGGCAGTCGGAATGATCTTTCGAGGCAACTGTTGTGAAGGGCAAGCCGGTGCCGGAGTCAATGGTTCTCCTGAGGTCGGCACGGAACTTAGCCAAAACACCTTGTTGCGTGAAGCTGGACCATGACACTGCACTGAGACAACTGTGTCTTTGTCTGAGGTCCTCACAAGGATGATTGCAGGTGTCACCTGACTCAGTGTCTATTTTCTCTGTGCTTCCCTGTTCACGATCTGCAGCACTTTGCCACGAGGCCGTCGAAGTGGAAGTGTATGCTGATAAGCACCAAGAGTTCATGGCGCACAGTCCCCAGCACGGAGACATGCCTATAAGCGGCTTCCTGCGCAGGATTGGGTACGGTCGTCTCAGGTTCTGGGAAGCTTCGCAGAAAAAAGGCTACACCAAAGCAACGAAGAAGCTTCAACCTCAGGATGAGCAAGTCAGGATCAGTGTGCAGTGGAGCTGAACTTAGGTCATGACCCGCCCGCGAAGATAGCCCCCATGAGCGCGGAGCAGAAATGTGCGGAGTCACCGGCCTTGCGCAGTGATATAGCGTACTTCTGTGCAAAGTGGCATTGATGCGTGTTGCACTTTAGATGTCTTGCTTTTGTGCATGACACTAGCGTGGATCATCTTATTAGTTTATAGGCATGGTGTGCGCTTGGCTGACCACTGAACGTATTCACACAAGATCACGCAAGAGGGGGGGGCGGATCCCCAAAGCGGCAAGACCCAGCTTCATGAGCACGAGAGCAATGCCAAGCCCTCATTGCTGAATGGAGCTCGCGCGATTGCGAAACGCACTTGGCGAAGGTGTCCCGAGAATCCCTCGGAAGGTGTTTTTTCTTGTGCTTGCGTTTGTTGGCAATAGGCAGGACATTGGAATTGGAAATCGACAAGCTCAGGGCACTCCTGGGTGTCCTCGAGGCATTAGGAGGTGGGATGGCTGCAGGTGCTTTGTTCTGAAGATATTGGCAGGCCGATGTTCGCATCTTGCGGCAGGTGAAGCATGAGAAGGACTGAGTGAGCCGAGCAGCAGAGCCTTGCACAGCCTTGCCAAATCATGAAGGGAAGTGAGGGCGAACTGCGTGACTGCACGGATGGCGAGTTCATCCTCCGCAGTCCAGAGTAGTCGGCTCAGAGGTTGCTGCACGTGTCATGCCCAAGCAGCAATCAAAAGAGTGCAGGCGGAGCTGCGTGTGAGAAACCGCGTTTCCGTTCTCTTGTGAAGATGCTGTTGTTAGATCGTGTTTGCTATCTGTTCATTGTTAGAATATTCATACGGTTGGAGTCACAGACAAGGCGGGGGGTTGCAGGGGGGGATTAAGAGGATTAAGAGGTGGGGCATACAGGGAAGCCGTATAGGAGCCTCTGACCGCTGTGGCCGGGGCCGAGGCGAATATTTGCCGTGTATATATATATATACACATGTATACACATGAGGTTGCACAGAATCTATATCTCTACACATATAGAGGTAATGCATATACATATACATATGTACATATATATATATATATATATATATATATCTATATCTGCACCATATGGGGCCGTGCGCCGCGTCGCAGGGTCCCCCCCCACCCCCCATGGTATGCCCCCCCCCCCCGCCCAGGCTTCTCGTCCCAGCAAACAGTCACACATCATCCGCTTAACTCCCCCCAAGCCAGGCCTCTCGCCTTGCAAAGGTGGGGGCGGGAGATGGAACTACAAGAAAGGGAACCACAAGGGTGAGGAAGGATAACCCACTACACAGGGAAACACAAGGCCACTTCCCCTCCCCTTCGACACACAGATGAAAATGGCGATGCTGCACCATGACGTTGATGTGCTATTTCCATTGTGGCTGCTGGTGGTACCTTTGCTCTTATGTTGCTCTGAGCTTCGGCACTGCATGTTCATTACTTTATTTAGTTGAACATGCTTGTGATGTTCTTGCGAAAACTGTACCGACCGTTGTCATTCCAAGCCAAGTTTCGGTTGGGTTGGCTAACAGTAAGCTTGATCACGTATTTGAATGATTTTCACTTGGGACTCTTGAGACAGGGACCGGAGGAGAGTGGGAGAGTGCGGATGGGGATCATGACCAGCATCTTCGTCATCATCATCATCATCACCATAATATTCATCACTATCATGGGCTTTGGAAGCTCAGGGCAGGTCGGAATTCAGTGGAACTGCATCACATCCTAAGGTCCAAGCCCTTAGCAACCGGACGCCTGATCAGCAAAAGCCACGGAAGGGGGCGCAGCCGACCGCGGAGGGGGGAACCCACACCACAGGAACCACAGGGGCGAGGGCGGGATACCATGGGGTGGGGGGGGGGAGGGGGGGCCCAGCAGCGCTGCACCATATATATATATATATATATATATATATATATATATACATATATATATATATATATATATGTGTACACGCACAGCTCTTGTAAGCTCTGTCGCATGATACTGTAGCAGTAACACTGTATATGATGCTTGATTTTGTTCTGTATACTTCCTTTATATTTCACATATTTCACCTTCTCATATCCGATTCTGTTTATACTACGAGGTTTCATATTGTACTATATTGTATAACTTTCTGTTACTTTACGTTACAATGTATTACATTAGTGTGTTGTGTTCGAGCAGATCGTACCTTGTTGTATACTAGCTATGAATGACAATATCTATATCTATATCTATCTATATATATATATATATATATTAATGTATCTTATATGGTAGGTTATCGTTGAACTACATTTATATGGCCACTGTATCATACAATGCACATGTAGCGTTAGAGTATACGAGTCTATTGAATTATGTCAAGCTGTATCATACAATGCTACTTGTGTTTCAATATTTGTTATGCTTTTGATCGAATCAGATGTGTGTGTGTGTGTGTGTGTGGGTGTGTGTGTGTGTGCTAGAGTTCAGTTTTCCGCCTGTATGCCGTATTGCTTCGAAGCCCAAATGCAGTAAAGAGTTGTGGCATTTGTTGAGTGGACATACAAGCATAGAGCCCCAAGAAAAGCACCTGTAAACCCAGCGAACGAAGTCTCCCGATCCGTGGGGGCATGTAGAGGAGTTGAGCGACTTTTGAATTGCAGTCTTGTCAAGAGACGCGCTTAAACTGGCTGATGGGACAGTATTCTCCAATTGCCAACGCACCCCCTTCCCCCCAGCACTCATGGCCTCCAGGCCCCCCATGCACCCCATGCCTCCCTTCCCCCCTGCACAAGGAGAGAGTAAATAACGAATCTCAACTTATTGGTTCGCCTCTCACCTCATTGGACAAGCTTAGCTCGAGCTTGTGCAAGTGCCCCGATGAAACAGCCGCAGTGCAATTGTTATCCATCTTCAGACTCGCGAGTAGAGTTGAGTTGTTGGCCTTCCGCGAAATGGTCTGCTGCAACCAGGCGTCGGAAGCGGATGCTATCGCAAGCGGTGAAGTCCTCTCATGCCCTTGTTCTACCTGAGGCAGAGGCAGAAAACAGGGATGGAGTGTTTCGTAAATGCAAGTTGTTCAGGAAAACTGATAATGAAGCCACTGCTTTTTGCAACTTGCAGGTGCAGAGCCCGCCGCCGCCAATTCTTGCCCAGGAGCCTCCCGGAAGCAATCCACACCCGTCCGTACCGCAAGGCAGCCGAGCCTAGGCCCTCGACTTTGGCTAAGCAGCCCAGACGTCATCTCAAGACTGAGCAGGTCTACGCTCAGTGAAGAGCGCAGTCGAACTTCATCAACTACCAGGCAGTGCTCAAGGAGACTCCCGGAAGCAAATTCGGTTACTCTGCGTGAGGTGGACGGAAGCCATTAAGTCCAATCGCACCATGCGTGCGTGCAACAGGCACGGAAAGGGAGCGTGTAGCTCCAATGACCTCGAGCTAAATGTGACCCAGACGCACAGATCTTGATCAGGATCGAGACATCATTTCTCGGGAAGCAAGCCTGGTAGCCCAGGGCCGCCCCAACCAGGCCACGTGTGCTGTGGCTGGTTTGAGGGAGTGGCCCTACACTGTCACACACCCCACCATTAATGCTTGATAAATTCGTCCTTTGCCATACTCTCAATTGTGGCTGGAAAGGTCAAGACAGACGGCAGTTCACGCTAATGCAGGCATCGCCTGGAACGCTGGTGCACGGACTCCGGATGCCAGCCCATCGCAACTGCCAGGCCTGGATCAGGTGATTTCGCGGGCCTTGTCCTCGTCTGTTTCTTCTTTTTCGTACGTCTCACGCGTGCTTACGAAGCTTTCTTGATTGTCCGCTTCAGAATGCTTGTTTGCTCGCGACCATGCCAGCATTGAGTCTTTCAAGGTTTTCGCAACCAAGAAACCCTACTGTCTTGCGTCATTTACTTCAAAAAGCCGCAGTACCAACTGTACTAACTGATCGTCCGGTCATTGTTCTTCTGCCATGCAATCCGCGCAGTATTACTTGTGGAATGCTGTACTTGCCATGGGTGTGGTCTAACGGGGGTGTGTCTTGTTTCTCCATCAAGTGGACATTGGAAGCCTGATCTGTTTCAGATGAGGTGTACGTCAGCTAGGCATTTTTCGGCGCAGGATTTAGGGTTTAGCAGCTGAAAACTTTGGCTTGTTATTCAGAGCTTATTGTTTGTCCATATCCTTTGCACATCGTGATTTTTTGTACATCTTGGTGCTCCCGTGTGCCTCCGACGGGTTCAGGTTAGGCCCGCAGGTGTCACTGATTGTGTGGTAGATGCATATCCACCCGGCATGTCGCTGCTGATCACTTCTCTCTCATAGGTCTCTTGGTTTGGGACCTTGTTGTTCCTGTTAGCTCAAGGCAGAGCTAGAAACAACAACGCAGAATTTTCGAGGTTTTGCCAAGGCCACACGGCAAGAGCAAACCGTATTAGTCTGTACTTGATGGCCTGTCGTGATCGCAGCCCATTTAGCCAATCGGTTACACGTCACATGTATCTCTTGTCTGGCTCAGCTGCGGAGGCTTAGTTCCGTGCAACAGGCTGCATAAGCTCCTGGCTCAAGCCTCTCTTTTCTGGGTGGTCGTCCTAATTTCTGAACTTTCGCCAGGAGTCACTTTGGTTTAGCACATATTTGCTGTCCGAACATTCATGCTAGGCGCTGTCACTTGACATGACACGTTTTCGCAGTTCGTGAGCGAAGCCTTGCCGCCATGATGATTTTCATTTGCTTTCTGTTCATTCACGCTGTCAGTGGAACCTCAGGGGATCGAAGTCGGTCTCCCATATTCAGTCCTACTTCTGATGTTCGCGTATGCTCCAGCAGCAGTATGGCCAATGGTCGTACGGTGCCTGGTCGTAGATCCAGGCCCAAAGGTCGTGTCTCGGAAGCTGGGTTGCATTGGGAGACCGTTGGCAGAGATTCGATATTCACAGCTGCAGACAATCGCTGGCAAGATGAACCGGATGCTACTAAAACATGCTATCAGCTGGCGGAAACCATGTCAAGCATTTATCATCCAACGCATATGACCTTCTTGGATAGCTTGGCAGAACAGGTTTTTGCGAATCACATTGGGCCGGATTTACAGCGCAGCTTGCTCATGTTTTATATAAACAATCAGCGTGAGCGCTTGCGTCGGCTACATGTACGAGGACTGGGGCTCTCCTTGCAGTCAACAGGATGGAAGCTTTCAGTTGGTTATCCGGTTGCAAACAAACAGTGCGACTCCTCCCTGAGGAAGTGGGTCCGGTGCCTCGAACAGTGGCGCCCTCACCATGAGTTCACATGGTGGCATGGGCATAGCATGCAGCTCTCTTCGCCCTTGCTTTTCAACGTGCAGGTAATGAAGTCAGAGATTCCGCTTGATAGGCGATTTCTGAGATGGCGTACCAATAGGTGGCAAGCGACTTTGGCACGAAGACGTCATAGGAGCTCGGTTTTTGAAGCAAAGATGGTTCGATGCATGCTTCAGCTTGTCATGTTCATTTGCAACATGCAGCGGCATGTTGTACTTCGAGCAGCCTGCCTCTCAGCTCAGCTTTGCTCCTCTGCGCGACTGTTATTTGACTCTGGTTCGTTGCCCGATCCTGCACATACGCCTTGCGACATGCGGGTGGCCGAGAGGGAAGTGCAGGACTCAGCTGAGTTCTCGCATGTTCTACAAACCAGTTTTTGTTCTCCCGGCAGGTCTTGGGTATGTACCTTGCGGTACTCCTTGACGTTGCTCTGGATGGATGTGCCTCTCAGATGGTTGACTTTGTGCGAGATGATCAGTACACATGTGGTATTGCTTCTTACCTTGGCTGCCTGTGCAATTTGATTCCTGTATATGCATTTGAGCATCTGCGGTCATGCATGGCTGCTTGCCGTTTTCACTTACAAGCTTGAACGATGGTCATTGTGTGAAATGGTAACAGCATTGGCTTTATGGATTCGTTTCTGGCGCTGGCTTGCTTACACTGCATCCATAATTTGGCACCCATCAATTAGGGCTTATGGTTGTGGCTTTGGCCCATGTCGCTTTGCTATTGATCTGGCTATAGCACTACAATGTCAGCTTCAATGGCACATAGTGATGTGCCTTCGCAGATTCGGCAGAGGTTGGCAGAACAGAGAGTACATGACCTGCTTTTTGATGCAGAAGATGATTTTGCTGCCCCAGTTGCCGTGCCGCCCCGACCGAGACCAAAGCCCTCTCAAGCACCGCATATTCAGGAGGCGGCCATTGCGAGGCGACCGCGACCGGCACATATTTTTCGGGTTATTCGAGTGCGTGGCAAACACGACCGTCGCCGTGATCCACCTGGAACTAGACAGCGTGTTCGCTGCAAGCGACAGCATGCGGGCACCCAGACGGAGCCTGTTCCGCTCAGTCACCTACGGTCGCTGGATTCGAGAGCGCCCGCAGCTGGCCTGGCTGTGGAGCGGGCTGGTGCCGAGACTGATTCGGACATGTCTTGTGGATATTACAGAAGCGATAGCTCCAGTTCGTCGGGTGGCATTCTACGACGAGAGGCTATTGCCCGCGAGATCGTTAACTTCGACCTCAATCCGTCTGATAATGACTAGCCTTGCGGCGTAGAGGCAATCGTGGCGGATGGTACACTTCTATCTGCCTGGTGTCACCTCCTTTGGATGGCTGTGTGCAAATGTACATATTCTGTAGCCTACGCTACATGTGAGGGCTCGTGGAAAAACATCTCTACACCTCTGTGTCAGTGCCTTTAGCCCTCGACCTATTCCGTGGAATGCGTATGCGCTGATTCACAGTATTGCTGCCCAGGTCTTTTCTGAGGATGCCAGTCATCGCCTGAGTGATGTGAGTTGGTATTTGGAGTACACTGGCCAACACTTCAAGAAGCTTACTATTCTCTGGCAAGCTCCCAGACTGATGCCATGGTGGCCCTATTCTCGACAGTTTTCTTCTGTCAGGGCCTGGCCATACCCACTGCTTGCCTATATCATGTTGAGCAGGTGGCTGTGGGACCCTACAGGTCGTGGATGGCTGGCTCCTTGCGTGCGAACAGCCTTGATACAGTTGCTTGCGTCTGCCTGTAGGCGGCGTACTTGCTGTCAGGTCTTTGATGCAATGCGTCAATGCGTCAGCGAATTGCTTCTCGTGGATCATCTCAGTTGCTTTATACATGTCTCGTGTATATATTGTGTTGGCCTTGGTGTCAGGTCTGGTGGCTATTCTTTGTTCGCAACGACACTTTCCTCTCTCAGTGCATGACTCAGATGGTCTGGATTGGTCAGCGATTTCGCCTTGCTCTTGAAGTTGTGTGCAAGCACTCAACCCATTGCTTGTTTGGTATGCTTGCAGCTTGGCGGCCAGAGCCCATTGAACAGTTTCCAGGACACATGTTTCTCTCATGTCACTTGGTGTTCATGCTGTTGTGCGTGCAATATCAACTTTATCAACTTCACAATCTGACTGACTTGCACTTACATTATACAGACATTTGGCTGTGCTGCTACTTTGTGATGCCCTCTTCGGGTGACTACACGGCCATGTATTCACCTTTACATCCAGAGCCGAAGAGATCATGGGATGAGAGACCGCCTTTGCCGCGACGAAGAGCTGTTACACTGCCGGTGCCCAGTCACCGATTCAGGGAAGAAGGCATATCCTTCTTGCAAGGATCAGGCAGCCTCTTCCGAGGCCCAAGAAGCCTGTAGTTTCAGTACCTTCAGTGGCTGGCTTGAACGATGCAGCAGGCTCCTCTGGACAGCGCAGCACTTTAGATAGTGCAACCTCGAGCAGACGGCCAGCGGCCAACAGCTGCCTACGAGACATGATGCCTCGGGAGCTGAAGTGGCTTCGCAAGCACTTGAACCTTGATCTTAGTGTCACTGCTCCTGGACCCAAGAGACTCAGGGATCGCAAGCGGCTGGCTGTGGCCATGGAGGCCGCAAGCCCAACCACCCCACCGGTCAAACCTAAGAGGACTGCCAACATCCTGCTACGGCTCCTTCGACTTCGACCCCTGCCACGACTTCTTTGACCCCTCCGAGCTCCGCTACCACTGGAGGTCGACGCGGCAAGACTTTGTGCCACAAAGCCAAAACCAAGAAGGGATCAATTCGTGAATCGTTTGCTCGGAGTAGCTCTGCAGCTGTGAAGAAGGATGCCCCTGGGTCAAAGCAGCACATCCCTTCTAAGATCACTTATACCAAGCGGACACTTTCAACTCCGGGTCCTGCCCCTGCTGATGATGATGGTATGACCACTCTGGAGCCCTTACCGGTGGAAGCGGTGCAGCTCTCACCACTTGACATGCCGTTGGGCATGCCTTCTGTCGAGGCTGACAAGGACCCTCAGTTGCTACACCCGCCGAGGATGCTCCCTCCAGCACCAATATCTCCTCGACTGGCGACAAGGCGGATGATCAGGCAAATGTGATGCAGGACCGGCGCCAACAATTACTGGATATGCAGCGAGCAGCCTTTCGAAGACGGTGTGAGTTGAAACAGCGATCTGTGCAGCTTCAGATGCAGGCTGCTGCATCTCAGGCAGCTCCCCTGAAGAACCTTCGGCTTTGCCCTCCTCTTCATACATGAAAATCAGACAGTTGTTATCCGTGCTGATCTGCATTTCTCTGTCATTGCGATGCTTCTTCTTTGGGATCATGCGCAACTCAGATTGGCTGTGCTATTGTGCCGTTTGGATCAATTGCTCAGGCCCTGGGTCTGGCTGGCTGCTGGGGTCTACCGCTCAACGTCG